AACACATGAACTGCCAGCGGCACAGTGGTTTCTTTTCGGGTGGGCGCTGCCAACCATATCTGGCGCTGCCTCACCGTAGATTACAAAGATCGACGGTCAGAAATTGAAGAATCAGCGTAAGTGAGACTTGGCCCCTGGTAGCACTGTTCACCCCCAAGAACCCTTTTTTTTTTTTTTTTTTTTTTTTTTTTTTYGAAAAGCCCTTGCGATATCCTCTATCCTGGCGGTGGTAAGAGAACCGTCAGAATTGAGGGCTTATCTGTCAGGCTGCTCCATCTATTGGTGGGGAGCGGCACCTGGTGGAAACCGGGTCCAGCGTCCCATTAGATACATCAAGTAGCACAGAAAATGGTGTTTGTTGATTCCTAGGGCTGTGGTTATTGCTTACTCACCCCGGGGCACCAGTATCCCGTGGAGCTGCTAGTGTCACCTTCCCTTTTTAGAAGCCCCCTTCTCTATTACCCAAGCCCTATTTCAGCAGCCCCCCTGATACGTTGTTGCTATTTCTGACTCTTTAGACCCTTAATATCCTAACCCCTTTTTTTAACTTCTTGTCGAAAACTAAACAATAATATATACAAAGAAGCCTCTTAAGCATTATTACTGTGTGTGTGTTTGTCCCTTCGCCTGAATTACCCCGATGCAACAATCTACACCCTCCTCTGGGATGTCGATCTATCCCACCTGAATCAGACTAGTACTCTGCTACCCTGCTACCCCGCTACCCCCAAACAAACACAGGTCAGGGAGGCGTGTGTTGTAGTTACCGACCTACTATTTGCCGCTGCATAGTTGGCCAGTACCATGATTCTGTTTTACCATGGAGCAACCAAATTTTGAAGTCTTTAAAATCTTTAAAATCTGTAAACCTTTTAACCTTATACCCTCTCAGAACCTATGCAGATGCCATACAAAACCCATGTCTGCCACCATTAATGATTCTTGAAGACCGCAGCAACAAGGTCCTCCCTTGATGATGGAATCTTCTCTGTCGTTCATGTCTGTCACTTAATATTCAGACCTCCATTATCAAGCGGCTGAGGGAGTAGGGGCAGGCGGTGGGGCAAGCAGGGGTGGGCAATGGGCCGACTGTGGGGGGGGGGGGGGGGGGGGGGGGGGAGGTTGGTGGGCAGGCAGCTCAGGACTAGGAAGGAGCACGAAGTTGGGTTGGAGGAATGAGACCTGAAAGTCGCAGAAGGGTTTCCTCTGCCAATCAAGTTTCGTTCTCCTTCATGGTTTCCATGTGATATCCAGGGCAGTGTTCAACTTCGAAAACAGTTTGTTAGGGTCCTGCCAAATCTGCATATAGGAGTCTCGAATGACCTCCTTGATGACAAGGTCTTTCTCCTCAAAGAATTCACGCCTCATGCATTTCCAGGCTTCCTGGGTTTTATTCCTGATCTGCTCTTCGACCGCTTTTTGCACCTGCAGGAAGCCAAATTAGTGGTGTTTTCTTTCAAATGAGCACCCGACTCTCCAAGCCAGCATAAGGATATGCAGCCTTGTGTATGAAAAAAGGCTGGTCGCAAACGAGGACCAATGAGCCAATAAGTGGCGGTTCTCTCGCAGCAACAGAAGGCCTAGGTCCCAGGGGATATGATATCCAGTGAGGGAGTGAAAGGCCGCATCCCACCATTGCCATAGTTGGGTGATCATTGGGCACGCCAGTAAGTAGTGTTCAAGGGTTGTTCTAGCCGACGTGTGGGTTCTTCCACAATATGCACACATGGGGGATAGTTTCCCTTGTTGTTCCAGGTTAGTCCTTGACACTAGCCAATCGGGAGTAGGGAGGCAGCGATGCAAGATCTGTCACTGGAAGGACCTATGGTTTGTGGGCATGATCTTCGCATATATGGACCAGTCTAAAGATAGTGACAGTTCAAGTTCCAGCGACGAGTCTCGAGCCCATCTGTTGGCTACCCTTTGGCTGCTCGGCTGACTCGGTCTTGATGATCGGTATCCCCCTTTCACTGTGTAGTCCCATAAATGCATCGGTTATGAGCCATACCATTTTCATTCTGCGGGGTCGAAAGGAAGCTTGGCCACGGGGGTAGTGGTTTCATATGCATAGTAGCCGATTTTTTGGTCACCCACCACTCTAACCTGCACCGACCCCCCCCTTCCACATGTTGTGTTCAGGTTGTCATTTTTTGACAGTTTCGTGGATGTAGCCCTAGTCAGAAGAGGTTCATAAGCTTCCAGTTCACAGGTCCCGTGATTGTTCTCCTTGACCTTATATATGACTGGATGGTCAGAAGAGTCTGAATAACTGACCACCCAGCCGTCACGTCGGATTGTCGGTCCCTCCCGCAGAGTGAGCCACCAGGCGATAGGGAGAACCTCCTTTAGAAGGCGTGTCTTTTCTTTCACATTTTTGACATATTTAAGTTTGTGTTGCAGCTAGCTAGGAGTTGCCCACTCCCCTTTCACTGGATCCCACAGGTCACCGACCGTGAAAACACCCTTCTTGGCCCAAATGAGCCAGGGAGAATTCGTTGTCAGTGAGAAGGGTTGGTCTGATTCTTGTAATATGTGTGGATTGCCAAAGAGGGGTTGCCTCCCTATCGTGCCACCTGTTTGGGGGATATTTTTTCTGGGGACCCCGCCGTCTCCAAAGTCGGATCGTATAAGGTAAGAGCGGATCTGTTGTTATGTCAAGCTTTGTGGCATGTGCCGGGTCAGGTAGATGTGCAAGGTGCGCTTGTTTTGGGGGCGAGGGGATGGTCCAGTAGTTGTTTGCCAGCCATTGGAACGGATGGATCTTTCCAGATATATCATTTTGTGGAGCAAGGTTGGCTATTTGCAAGCAGACAAAAGACTTCCAGGGGATGTCATTTCCAATAAGCAGTCGGACGAGGACTTTAAAAATAAGTGTCTCGGTCTCGTTCAAGTTTTCAAGGTCTAGGATTCTCAACCGCCCTTTGGATCTGGGCTATGTGAGGAACTCTCACTTCACCCTGTTGACACAGCCCTGGGTCTTAGCGCTGTTTTTCCACAGATGCCGTGAGGGCTTTCTTTAATCTAATGTGTTGTTGTTTGCTTAGTGGTCATACTGTCAGTTTATACCATATGGCAGTCAAGACTGCACTATTAATTGCTAAGGCGCGTCCCACCTGTGATGTATACAGGCCCTCCCAGTTGGCCAGCCGATCCAAGGCCATGTTAACCAGCATGTCCTCATGATCCGGTGGTGGACCCACGTCAGTAAGTCTCACTCCAAGCATCTTTATGACCTCTTCTTTGCGGGCCCATGCTACACTCGGCTCGGGAGGGGGTGGCTGTCCTTGAGGATGGAGCCACCAACCCTCAGTCTTTGAACCCCAGTTAACTTTCATGTCGGCCGCAAGCGAGAAGAGGTGAATAACATGGGTGAGAGTTTGGACGTTGTCCGGGTCTGCTCGTATTAGTACGGTGAGATCATCCGCAAAGAGTGAAGTCATTGGTATAAGATGATGCGGTATGTCTGGGATATGAATTTTGCTGATACCCGGATGCGCTCTAATCATCGATGCAAGGGCCTCCATAACAATCACAAACAACAATGGTGCGATGGGATCTCCCTGTCGCACCGATCTTTGAAGGCGAACCGGTGGTGAGAGATGATTATTTAGCATTATGTTGGTCGACTCAGATCTGTGCAGCAAGTGCAACCATCGACAAAAGACCTGACCAAAATTCATTTTGAGCAGGCAAATGTCAAGAAAATCTCAATCAACATGGTCATATACCTTTTCGAAGTCTATGAAAATGATCGCTGCTTGGACCCTCCGTTGATGGGTATATTTGATAGTCTCATTAACCAACAGGATATTATCCTGGATATTCCGATTGGGCATGAACCCTGTCTGATCCGGATGAATCAACATATTCATGAGGGGCAATAGTCTGTTAGTAAGAATTTTAGCCACTAGTTTGTAGGGGACCGACAGTAGTGTGATGAACCTATAGTTTCTAATATTATCTTTGCCCCCTTTCTTATAAAGGAGGGTAGTGACCCCCTGACCAATCATTTCTCCCAAGGATTCTTCCTTTTGAATCGCCTGAATGTACTCCATGAGATCATCCTTAAGGAGGTCTCAAAATCCCACCCATAATTCTTTCGGGAAATAGTCAATCCCATACGTTTTCTCATTCTCCATATCTTGTAGGGCAACCCAGACGCCCTGTGAGGTTATAGGCTCGTCCAAAGTGACTCTTTGTTGCCCTGTTATAGAGGAGTGAATTGCCTGTAGAAGGATCTCTCTCTTATGATGGACCTCGTCCGGGTGCTTGGTGGGTGTCTCATATATGAATAGGTTGTTATAGTATTTAGCCGCGTAGTCCACAATTGAATATGCATTGGTCGCAGGCAAGGCATTATTGTCTAGTGGGTGGTTAAGCCTCAGAATAGTGGTTGCTCTTGTCCTCGCTCTGGCCTTGTTAAAAAAGGCCTTTGCCATTGTCCTGTCTATGTGTTGTTTTTTAATTTTGGCGTGCACCCTCCATGCCTGCGCCTGGTGCTTGATATACGACTGGAGGTAGTCACGGGCCTCTTGCACTTTATCGTAGGAGGGACCGCGCATCAAGTCCTTCATAAGATCTTCATCTCATTCTTTTATGTCTCACATGAGACTCTCGAGGCATGCTTTACGGTCTCTCGCATGTTGGATGGAGATTTTTTTTGCTCTTTCCCGTAATTGTGTCAGTCCCTTGTTAAACCAATTCACCCTTTCCCCCAAGATGGGTTTCTAGGTTTGCCGGTAATTCCAGAAGTCATTAACCAGGTCTTTGAATCTGGGGAGGAGAAGCAAAGATGCATTAAATTTGTAGAACCCCGGACCTCGCTGGATGTGATTGTGGAATGACAATCCCAGCGTTATCATTCTACGGTCGAAAGACTTACATGGGCTGATAGTTGTTATTTCTGTTGTTGTAACTAAGCCCATCATTTCTTTAGATACAAGCGTAAGGCCCATTCGTGAATTGGCTAGGCCACGCTCGACCCTCGATGATAGGCAGGCGTAGGTTTTTGGGCGGGGTGCAGCAGTCTATATGCATCTTCAAGCTGTCTATCTGCCATAAATTGTCTCAGCATGAGAATATCCGAACCAGGGGCGGAAGGTGTTGAGGGTCCTAAGTCATGGCGTGTAGATGTGGATCTTCGATCCATTGCAGGGTCGAGGGTGGTGTTGAAGTCACCAGCAAGTATAACAGGAGCATCGTTTGGCAGGTGTTCGTGAAGGGTAAGCCAAAGGTCCACCCTAGATGTGGGCTCATTTGGGGCGTACACACTGACCAGGTAAAATTCTTCACTATGAAACTGAAGTTTTAAGCAAATCCATCTACCTTGTTGTTGGTCACACTCAACAGCCAACGGTCTGAGTTTTGAGGATAAAAGCCAGATTGCTACACATGTCGAAGTTTTATCCTTAGCAGATGCAGAATATGACGTATATGGCCAAATTGCTTTTTCTTTTGCCTTATGTGCCGGTGTGTCCTGCAAATGTGTTTCTTGTATACATATTGCATTTTGTTATGTCCTCGTCTCCGGGCGCCTGATCATATCCCATATGACATCTTTTTTAGATGTCGTTGTCTGTATAAGTCCATGAACATTTAGAGAACATATATCAATTTCTGCCTGAGCCAATTTTATTGCCCATTGAGACTTCCTCTTGATCGAGGGAAAAACGGGAGGAGACGGAAGGCATCTAGGAGGCCGGGGAGGGGGAGGGGGGGTCACCGAGCGTGGCGGTTGCTGCTGTGTGGGCAAATGGAATGGGGGGTAGTGATTGTTAGGTTGAATGTGAGATGGCGGTTGCTGCTGTATGACGGGGTGGGAAGTTGGGAGGTGATTGACACTCCGGGTGTGAGGTGCATGGAGGCTGGGGGGGTGATCACAAGGGCAGGGCGACTGTGGGAAATCCCTGTGTAGGCAATTCACGGTGGTGACCATAGGGTTCTGACTATGGTCGTTCGAGTCCGTTTGGTTGCAAAGACTGTGCATGTTTATTACTGGAGTACCTCAGCCGATTCAGACAACGACTTTTATAGGGAGGACAAACGGTGAGTCATCTCATTGATTATTTTCATCCAACACATTGTCCTCCATGAAGATCTGCATGAACCGTTGTACCCTGGTCAAAGTCCACGCAAAGTTGATTCTGAATCGGTCGGCAGACAATTCGGTGAGTTCCTGGTGGGTAAACCATTTGTGTGTTAATGTTGTTTTGTGAGCTGTGGTTTTCAGACTCATGAGCACGATGACCGGGATAACCCCCACTGGAAATGACAAGGAGTGTGACAACACAGTTCCTTGTAACCCTTCCAATTGTGATTCCTTGCACCAGTATTTAAGGCGCTTTAGGATAACCGTTGTGGAGGGGTTACCCCTCCATCCCTCTACTGTGAGGCCATCTAAATCCGGAGATTGTTGAGGGGGACAATCTGGGGGGGGTCTGAGTCCCAGCACCTACTGTCCCCCTTCCCTCTGCCGTGCTATCGGAAATAAGATTACCCCAGGCGACACTTATATTGGAGTGTCGTCATCATTTCGCAATCCCACGCGATCTTTCAGTTTTCCCCTAGGGGGATCGTCAAAAGTCTCTTCATCTAACCCATATTGCGAATCATCCTCATCATCATGATGATTCATGCAGTATCTGAATTTTGCGAGGGCAGTGGACCGGGCATGACTCTATGTTGTTGGCGTCTACGGGTGCCACCTGCTGCTTAGGTTGTTGTGGCTCCGTCCCCCATGTGATGAGCTGGTTTTGTCTTTGTTCCAGTTGCATTGATGTGGCCACAAGAAGACCGTGTAAGGTGGCGGAAAGTTCCAGGACCAGCAGCTTGGGCCATGCCAGCCCTTCGTGAAGGAATGCCTCCTCGTCGGGGGCTGGTCGGTCTGGGCTTTGATTGTTATGATGCTGGTCAAATCTGTTTTTAACTTTTTAGTGTATTATTCTATTTTATCCAAGAATTCATTGACCACCAAGACAATTGCCGCACCGACGTCCATCCAGTCAATAAACGATATATTGCTGTATTTTTCGACACTAGCCAGAACCCCCGGAGTGAACATCAAGACTTCCCTGGCCTGGGCCCAGTATTTGCTTGTGAGTTTGTTCTGTGACCCCTCCCCTGCCATTGAGAATATTTTAGTGAGAATCCATTCAGTGAGGCAGACCAATTTTTGTTTGACTTCTTCATTGGCCGC